CAAAAGGCAAAGCTGTCTATTTACTGTTGGTCTATGTTCCTCATGTGCTCAGGAAATCAGATCATGAACTAAAGATACTAAAATCAACTTCCTCAGCAGGATGGCTGGGCTCTCCCTTACAGAGAGGGTGAGGAGCTTTACCATCTGGGGAGGCTCAGAGCACAGCTGGTTCTCCTCAACATCAAGAGGAGTCAGCTGAGGTGGCACGGACATCTTCTATAGATGCCCTTTAATGCCTCCTGCTGAAGGAGGCCCAGGAGACGCCCAGGACATGCTAGAGACTTTGGCTAATCCCAAACCAGCCCCTATGTCTTTCACTATGAAGTCCCACTCCAGCTGAGGAGGGCGCCTTGATTGATGCTATATGTGGAAGTAGGCTGCCCTCGTTCCTACACTCAAAAAGGAAAGCAGTTGTTGCTATGGCAACACGAAATGCCTCATGTGAGAGGCTCGAAATCAAACATTTAGACGTTTTTGAAAATAAACTCATAAAATCATTTAAATCTGTTATTTTGACAAATATGCAGAGATTCAGTGGAACTTACAATTAAAGCAGTTTTTCCTCCACTAGTAGGTCGCTGTTAGACCCAATGCTAAGACTGACGCTACCTCCAACTGGTCTTAGAAAATCAGACGAAAATAGTTCAAGCAAATTTAATGACTAATCAAACTATAACCAACTGATTTCAATCTATTTCATGGTGTCATCATCATTTCCTGTGTGAAACTGACTTAATCGCCATCATGCTACCTGCTGATGAAAACATTAACATCTAACATATTTTAAAGGTTTACTAAAAGAAAACATCTAATGTAATAGAATAATTGAATAAAACAGTTTGTGGAAGTTTGCATTGTATGAAACTGATTTAGTTACTAAAGTAGCATCAACTTTCCCCTTAAAAAAAACAAAAAATGCTCATAATACAAAATGTGGATATTTTGTATGTGCAGGAAAACAGAACATCATTAGTGGGAAAGAGGTTCTGTCATTGTGTTAGTGAGATAGAAGGCCATCATAACCAGCTTTGTGTGTTTACCCCCCCACAGATATGCCGGCTAAAACAGCTACTGGCACTATAGCCATCGAGGTGCAGCCGTTCAATGATCACTGCCCAAAGCTGACCACAGACTTAATGTCGATGTGCACATCAGAGAACAAGCTGATTGTTAATGCTGAAGATGAAGATGCATTTCCATTTGGAGCACCTTTTAACTTTAGCATTGACCCAGACGGCACACAGGGGAGCTGGCAGGTGAAGCAACACAATGGTAAGAAAATATTCTGAACTGAATCTCCAGAAAATGTGAATCCTAGACTGTCTCCATCATGTGACACAGTACATAACATTCGTTAAATGACAGTAAAACATGGTGAACTGCCTAAAGAGAATCTACTACAACTCCATGAGGCTAGAAAATGGCCATGATTCAGTTTAAAAGTGATAAAAATTTAGAGTCTGCTGGGGATCAATACATCTCAACCTCAACGGGCCGACAGAGAAGATGAGCTGATAGACTCTAAAGAAAAGGCTGCAGCTTAACTTATCATTAAGAGTGACGAGACGTTCAGTAGAAAACTCACCACATCTGAAGCAGCGAGATCCAGCTGACTGCTGATGCTGAAACACAGAAATGTTTTGAGACGGGGGAACAGGGCTTGGCGGAGCCGCAAATCTCTGCAGCATTACGTGGATCAACAGGTGTGTCAGAGGATAGGATCCAAGCAGCAGCCAGGGGAGGATCCAAAGCTCACTTTAAGTTGAAATGGTGTCATCTAAATGAAGTCACAGCCCATCCAAAGCCTGCACACAGCAGACAGGTGCCGATTGGAGGCCTTTTAAGGAGCTTTGGATGCTGATTGGCTGTCGTGGAGGTGTGGTTCAAAGCTGATTGGCTGTGCCGCAGGGGGATGAAGGAAAGCAAATGAGTTTCTTCAGGTGAATGTCCGCCTTGGCTCAATAATATAAAAAAATAATCAAAATAATAATAATAAAACCAGCTGGCACATCCAGCATCCAGCAGAATGAGATGCTATAAGCGCCTAAACGAAATAAAATAGGATGAATCTATTTTCTTTTCATCTTTATTAATACTATATTTAATGTGGCATGGAAAAAACTGGGCTCCGTTTCTTCGTATTGTGTAATGAAACTCAGTGGGGATGACAGTTGTTTCTCATATTTTCATTGTTGGTTTCAGGTTGTAAAACAAATGATGCACAGATTCAAATTCATGTTGGACTTTATTTTATGCACTACATAGATTTTATTGCGTTGAGAACATGCAGCGATGCACAGCTTTAAGGGAACATTGGTGCTCACACTGCTGGTCCATAGATGCAGATAATAACCAGGTCAGCCATTTTCTTGGGGGCCCCAGGCAGCTCGGGGCCCTAAGTTATTGCTAGGCTTGCTTGCCTTCCTGCAACAGGCCTGCCCCCCAGACTCAGGGAAAAAAAGGTATTTATTAGCTCATCTACGTCAATGCTGTCCAAGAAAATCACAGTTCAGAACGGAGCTCTTTTTCACCTCACAAGACTTTTTCTACAAAAGACATGCACCCAATCCTGGTTTATTTATACTCTAACATGGTTGGTTGTATATGCATGTGTGCATGGCAAAGGGCTCATGGCCTGTGTGGAAAATTTAGTGTTATTTTACTGACCCACCGTGTTTCCAAGGCCTCAAATAATATCTTTTCCACAGTCAGAGGAACATCAGCTGCTTTTAGGTGGTCTGTTAGCCTTTAGCTTCAACATGCTGCTCTGTCATTTCCTGTCTAATTTCTAGAAACAACTCTTTGCATCTTCTGGTCCATGTTGAGTGTGGTATTCAGTTGAAGCATAGTTGAAAGGAATTGTCTGACTATAGAATTTTCTTTAGTAATTCTTTTTTTTTTGTTATTTCTGAGGCCATAGTTATTTTTTCCTTTTTATTATAGCAAAAATTCTGTGTGAATATATTTATATGTGTTTTTGTGTTTTATCAATCAATGCACTTATTAACGATGCCTATCATTGCTGTATCTCACAGAGACGGCAGCTATTGTGCAGGCGATGGAGGACCTTTGGCCTGGTGTCTACAAACTGATGTTTGTGGTGGAAGACCAACAGGGAAAGTCTTGCCCAGAATCACAAAAACTGAAAGTTAGTGTCTGTGTCTGTAAGGATGGGGATGTCTGCAAGAAACAAACTGCACCTCCTGCGAAGTTAGTAGGTGCAGGCATTGGCCTTCTTTTTCTGGGACTGCTACTTCTACTTTGTGAGTACCACTGAGTTCTACTTACAGTTGTATGTATATATATATATATATATATATATATATATATATATATATATTAGGGCTGTCAATCGATTAAAAAAATTAATCTAATTAATTACACACTTTGTATTGAATTAATCTAAATTAATCGCATATCATTTTTGCTATGAAAGTATTTTAAATATTTTTAATTCAAATGATTCAATAAATAATCAGCATTAGATACATTAAAGTTCAAAAACTCTTTAATTCACATTTCTTGCCTTCAGACGTTTAACATGTGTCTTTGTGGCATATGTGGCACATAGTAACGTAGGGGACACAATGAAAATAAATGAACACTCCTCTCAATATCAACATTTTTAACAGCTTTACAACAGATCAGGTCACAGAGACCAAAAGTTTAACATAGTGCAATAAAGTTGAGCATAAACTTTCAATAAAAAAAAAACCCTTTTACCACAAAACATAAAAAAGCAACAACATGTGCCTCACCTCTACTTCTCCTTCAGCCAGTCACTGAGACAAACTAGCTTCTTTACATTCTCAGAGCTCACGGCTGCCCTCTTTTCTTCGCTATGTTACCTGCAAGAGAAAAAGTCTCTCACCAGGAACAGAACCATCAGGGGCAGCCAGATATTTGCGAGCCAGGACAGATAGCTGTTGATGGGCTCCTGCATGAGGTTTCCACCACTGCAGCAGGCATTCCTCCATGCTAATGGTGGGCTCTGCTTTGTAGTGGTTCAGAGCCCTGCTTGGTTCCACCATGTCATCATCTGAGTCTGAGTCTGAAGCAAAGAGAAGGAGGCTTCGCTTTTTCGGTGGCTCTTCTACAGGTTCTAGGGTAGCTGTACTGGTTTTATTTTCCAGCAGAGCCTGAAGGCTGGTCCAGACTGCTTCTCTATCTCCTTTTTTAAGACACTTCAAGTCCTTAAAGCGTGGGTCTAATGCTGAAGCTATGTTGAGCCATCCATTGTTGATGTTTGCTTGCCGTTCAGACAGGGCCTTTTTAAAGGCAGTCTTGAATTTTCCAACATAGGCTGGGTCCTCGTCCGAAACTTCCATTGCACGGTACAGATGGCAGAGAGCAGGCAACACAACAGAGCAGTCAAGGTGGCAGAGAGCAGGCAACACAACAGAGCAGTCAAGGTGGCAGAGAGCAGGCAACGTGGCAGAGAGCAGGCAACACCACAGAGCAGGAAACATAACTCCAAGGAGCTCCGTCACATATCTGCATTGGATGATAAGAGATAGACACACTGCATTTAGCTATATCAGTCATAGCAGTAGCCTAGCCTACTTAAACAATTAAACAATAAAAAATAAAAAAAATACTGTAAATTTCTGTACAATAAAAAATAAATAAATTTTTTGTGTGTGCGTTTGTGTGTGTAAGCTTTTACCTGCATGGTTCAAGGATGGTTTTCAGCCTCTGAAGTTTGTCCCACTCAGATGTAGTCAGCATAGTCAGCTTCTGTCTGCTCAGTGTAGCCTTCATAGCCTCCTGGTTCTCCAGGAGATGAGAGATCATGGCGAGTGATGAGTTCCATCTTGTGCTAACATCCTGAATCAGACTTTGATTCACTTGCCCAAGTTGAGTTTGCTGCTGGTGGAGCTCCTCTGTATCGGCAGGGCTATGTTTAAAATGTCCCACTATCTTACAGTACTTTGCCAATGTGTCACAAACCCGCTGTCTGTGAGGCAAACAGAGATGCTTCTCTGTGACATATGAGCAACACAAGGCATGTGCTCATATGGAAGCTTTCTCGCCGCGGCGATCATGGCCTCCGTTTTTAGCATTGCTAACGCAAATGACTGGAGTTTCCATTCACAATCAATGATGTGTGCCGTAACACCAAGGTAATTGTGATTGCTAACTGAAGTCCAGTGATCCCCTGTCAGTGCGATATGTTCTGCTCCCACCAGTACATCTCCTTTTGGGTTTTTTTAAGTGTCGTACAGCTGCTGGATTTTTGACATAATAGTGTTTTGTGACGGCGGGTTATATGTCATGTCTGAAGAGGCTATTTGCAAAACCTCTGCTAACCCGCTGTCTTCTATCAGTGAAACTGGTCTGCAAGACATTGCGATCCATTTAGCAAGGGAATTGCTCAGTCGGTCACATGCAGATTTGCTTAGTTTACGTTTCAGTGTTTGCTCCAAAGGTTTGATGATGAGGTTGGCTGCTAGAGCTTGTATCACAGGACGTGCTAGGTCGTGGTGCTACCTGTGGGTTAACTCCTGGATGCTTTGCACCTATGTGGTACTTAAGAGTTGACGCACTCCGGTGGTATGCAAATTCCTTTCTGCAGACATTGCAGATGACTTTGCTTTTATCAACAATTCCCTCAATAACGGAAAATCAAGGACCCAATGTAAAAAAAACGGCGTTCCCCTTTAAGTACCCTTGTTTAGCATGTCCTAGATTTCCCCATGCATTGTACAGCTAATTCACCTCCTTTGCTTTTATTGGAGATATGATTCAGTTTAAAACTGTTAGTTTTCTCTTAGTTAATTATGTTAAATTACTTTTCTTCCAGTGATTCCTTTGTTGATGTGCCTCTGCCAGTGTGGAAGTGCGGCTAAATATAAGGACCTCTTTACTGATGTGCCTTATTCTACAAAATCTCATCTCATTCACTACGACACTGAACCCCCTGCAGACAATGTGGTGAGACAAACATTTTTAGATATTTTCAGTGTTTTAAAGTTAATGACCTGATTTGACAGAAAACATAAATACTTTGCTCCAATAATTGTTGCGTTGATCTTTTGCAGGAAGCTGCTGCTTTGCTGACCTTACCAACACAGAATATAAAGGGTGGGGATCTACAATATGTAGAAGCTCTGCCAGGGGCTGGATTTGAAATGCAGCAATCGGTGGCTTCCATGAATCAGGGCATGTTCCAAGGTGTGTCCTCAAATGGCTTCAGAGACGAAATGGGGATGAACATGTGGGAAGGCAGTGGCTTTGGGTCCGAAACTCGAGAGTCAAGAGGATATCATGACTTGGCTTTACCAGACAGCTTCCTTTCACTCTACTACATCCAGGTGAAACCTCATTTTCTATTGAAAATATAAATCATGTCAGTTTGATTGAAATATTTGTGCATTTTCTGCTGCTTTGGTCCAACATGTGGTGTTTCTGTTATATCAATGCAGCCATTTTAATGGAAGCTGTGTTCATTCATGAAACTTAGTGGCTTTGGTAGCTAAGCACAGAGGTAACTGTAACTGTAAAGTGCTTTGGAGTCTCCTGGCCTTTAAAGGCGCTGTATAAATATATAAGAGCATTTACCATTTAGCAGCATTTCATTTTCATTTGCTGGAAGGTTAAAGATCAGAGGAGTCTGCTAATCAAGGTACTTAATAAACAAGCTGTTAGCAGGGAATTAATTGACATTTTATTTATAAAAATAATGTAGGATCACAATTATCAGAAAAATTAAGATTGAATTAAGAGACAAACTATAGGAAAAGTAAATAAGCAGATTGATCCCAACAGAGATTTATTTTCTGTTAGTTGAGTGACAGATGAAAACAATCGTTCCCCCAATCTCTGTTTTTAACTAATGTTAAAGATGGCTTCGTCATTAAGGAACTATTTTAGAGTAAATCTTTGTTATTCTTTTTTTTGCTTTATTCTGATAACTGACTAACTCTTCTTTCAACAACAGAAGACCAGTGGAGATGAGAACGTTGAGATAACAGATACCCAGCTGGTGTACGACTATGAGGGCGAGGGCTCCCCTGCTGGCTCTGTGGGATGCTGCAGTCTTCTGGATTCAGACAATGACCTGAGTTTCCTTGATGATTTTGGACCGAGGTTTAAAACGCTTGCTGAAATATGTGGTGGCAAAATAGTCCAATCTGAGACGACGACACAAGCGGAGACTGCTCTACCTAATGTTCCTGTGAGCAACGTTCGAGTGTCAGAGCCAGATTTGTTGACCAGCCAAGAGGTGTCCCATATGTCCATTGTGCAGTCGGCCAACTCCAGAACCGAGCAGAGGTTAGCCAGTGAAAGAAGGGAGCAGTCTGAGATCAGGGAGAGCAAGGCCGCAGTGAAGGAAGGGATGACCTCAGTGCAGGCAGGGATGGCGCACCAGAACCAGATGGTAGTTCTAAACCAACAGCAGCCCGTCTACTTTACCACCGCGCCTATGATGCAGCCCATGCACTATGTTGTTCAGCAGCCCCTTCAGAATGCAGTGATACTAGCTGAGGCACCTGCCTCCAGTCTTCAGCACATGGTAATGGTTAATGGCACTGATATCGCCTCATCCCAGGGAGTTATTGTTCAAGGTCAGACAATGATGCCCAATGTACAAACCCAGAGCCTTGGGGCAGTGCTGGTTTACAGCAGGGTTAACCAGGGAACCACTGGGAACCTGATCTCTGGCTCCCAAAACATGATGTTTGTTGAAAGCAATGTCCCTGCTGGATCTGTGAGAGTACTAAACGGTAACCAGGTTAGCCTTGCTCAGGGTGGTGCGACACTAAACGGGTTGTCAGGATCTCAGACAATCATTAAGAAGCGGGAGTCAAACAGCAGAGGGCAGCAGAGTCAGGGTGGAAAAGGTTCCTTCCAAAAGTCTGAAGTCTCGCGTGGTCAAAAGGTTCATGTGATCAGTGGTGCATCCGGCGGCTCTGAGGGAAGCACCTCTTCCTACACCCTTACTACATCCACCAACAATGGAGTAGTTGTTGGGCAGAAGCCCAGAGTAATGAACTAGAGACGCTGCGTCTACTGCAGTCAACAATCACCTATTGTGTGGTCTAGGGTGATGGGAGCTTATCTAAAGCAGGTGTTTGGGTTAAGCAATAGTTCCCAAAGGTTTTAGCACAGTTACCATTTGTTCTTATGTCTTGTAAAGTTAGCTGAAACTGCACAGGCTTTGTTTGGGCATAGCTTCTATGTTCCCATGGCCTAAAGAAGCCTGGGATTAAAAAATAATGAGAAGTTTCTACTATGGCCCTTAAATTTGCCTGACCTACAGTAGATAGATCCAGAATGTATAGATACAAACAGCTGATTATAGAGGTGACCTGGAATTACTTTAGGGTTAGGGTTAGGATTTACTTGATGATAACAACCTACTGAGCCTAATCTAGAGCCATTCTGTGGGACTGATAACCTCTAATAACGACCATTTATTGGGATGATATAATGTTGCTGCAAACAGTGCAACAACAGTGTAAAAGAAGACGGTATCAACCTGAGGATGAAGCCATGAGATGATGAACTGGTTCTACCTGTTACAACGTTTTTATTCTCTGAATTTGTTTTACTGAACATGTATTCCTGATATCTAAAAAAAACTTTTTTTATTCTCAGGATGACCATTTTAAATAAAATGCCATTCTTCACATCTATAATAAACATTCCGGATGTCTAGAAATTAATTATATATCTCTATATTCTTATTGTTAGTGGTCAGCATTTGTATTATTTTGACTATAAAGAAATCTATTTCCGATATCATAAATAAATACTCAGTCAAGCNGTTAATGGCACTGATATCGCCTCATCCCAGGGAGTTATTGTTCAAGGTCAGACAATGATGCCCAATGTACAAACCCAGAGCCTTGGGGCAGTGCTGGTTTACAGCAGGGTTAACCAGGGAACCACTGGGAACCTGATCTCTGGCTCCCAAAACAGGATGTTTGTTGAAAGCAATGTTCCTGCTGGATCTGTGAGAGTTCTAAACGGTAACCAGGTTAGCCTTGCTCAGGGTGGTGCGACACTAAACGGGTTGTCAGGATCTCAGACAGTCATTAAGAAGCGGGAGTCAAACAGCAGAGGGCAGCAGAGTCAGGTTGGAAAAGGTTCTTTCCAAAAGTCTAAAGTCTCTGGTGTTCTCTGGTGTTCTGGTGTTGTTGGGCAGAAGCACAGAGTAATGAACTAGAGACGCTGCGTCTACTGCAGTCAACAATCTGGTCTAGGGTGATGGGAGCTTATCTAAAGCAGGTGTTTGGGTTAAGCAATAGTTCCCAAAGGTTTTAGCACAGTTACCATTTGTTCTTATGTCCTGTAAAGTTAGCTGAAACTGCACAGGCTTTGTTTGGGAATAGCTTCTATGTTCCCATGGCCTAAAGAAGCCTGGGATTAAAAAATAATGAGAAGTTTCTACCATGGCCCTTAAATTTGCCTGACCTACAGTAGATAGATCCAGAATGTATAGATACAAACAGCTGATTATAGAGGTGACCTGGAATTACTTTAGGGTTAGGGTTAGGATTTACTCGATGATAACAACCTACTGAGCCTAATCTAGAGCCATTCTGTGGGACTGATAACCTCTAATAACGACCATTTATTGGGATGATATAATGTTGCTGCAAACAGTGCAACAACAGTGTAAAAGAAGACGGTATCAACCTGAGGATGAACCCATGAGATGATGAACTGGTTCTACCTGTTAGAACGTTTTTATTCTTCATCTTCACCTGCTGACAGATAATTTTACCCAAATAGATACATTGATCCACTACCATTCAAGAAATAAAACAAGTAATATAACCCGTCACAACAGCCTATGGCAAGCCGTTTTGACATGAATTTGTTTTACTGAACATGTATTCCTGATATCTAAAAAAAACTTTTTTTATTCTCAGGATGACCATTTCAAACAAAATGGCATTCTTCACATCTATAGTAAACATTCTGGATGTCTAGAAATTAATTATATATCTCTATATTCTTATTGTTAGTGATCAGCATTTGTATTATTTTGACTATAAAGAAATCTATTTCCGATATCATAAATAAATACTCAGTCAAGCGTATAAATGTCAGAAGACCACTTAAAATGTGTAAGCATTTCTAGATCTATAAAACTTCATCCTTAATAGTATAATTTGGTTTTTTACTTTCTGAAATACAGTTTCTGCTGTGGCCTTCATATAAACTCACACATTAACTCGACCAACAATCTTCTCCGTCGCCATCTTCCTCAGCTGTAGAGCTTTTTCTCTTTGTCTCTTAAACACAGTCTACATTTCTTTTGTTTTATTTCCTCATTAAAATCCCTAGTTCCAGTGGGTTGAAAAAGGCACTTTCTGTTTCCTGTCATCATGGTGACTCGTCGAGTCGGGGCTACACTGAGCCACTCAGTGGCTACTGTGAAATGAAAAACTCAGAGTTTGTTAGGCTCTTCTTGTGTTTTAAGTTTTTAAATTGCATTAAAAAGAAAATCATAATCTTGCCTAAAATCCTGAAATAATGCGTCTGATTTAGCTTCAGGCAGAAATCCAACTTCTAGCACAAAGTAACGAGACATATTAAACCCCCCCAGGTAGCTGAGTTTATTACTGATCAAATTAAAGCTTTGTCTGTTGTGCACCTTATTAAACACCCGGCAGGTTTTAGAAATACTCTTATGTATTCCTGCTGAAAATAATGGTAAGTGTAAAGAGCTGATTCCAGCTGCTTAAGCCGTTTTATCACAGCTACTGTCTGATATTTGCTTCCAGGAAATAAAACGCTGTCACCACTTGTCCCCACAGGGTAACACACACACTTAAAAGAGGTCAAAAATGTTTTCTTTAAAATGGCCCTTTTATTATGCTCACAAAAATTGTGAAATCCGTTTCCTGTTCACGGGTGATAAGAATATTTCTTTGTGTGTAATAATTCTTCTCATCCTAAACACTTAATTATTGAAATGGGTTTTTTTCCTTTGAAAAAATTGTTAAAACTTATTGATAAATGTGAAGCTTTAAATGAAGAATTGTATGTCTGCTACTTCTGGTTGCAGCTAAAGTTTGATAAGTTTGAGAATAAAGAAAAATTATTTAATTGTGGTTTTTTGTTGATAATTAATTTTCCCTTGACTAAAGCATCATAGTACTAATAATAATCTATCGGTTTAAATATAATTCTTTTCTCAGCAAGATGATTTAGTTTTGTTGCTCCTGCAGACAGACCAACCAAGTATGGTTGGAAGGGTTAGGGTTTCTCTTATTTCATATATTGAGTTAGCTGTGAATCCATTGAACAAT